ATGAATTTCATCAGCATAATGTTGATAAGGACCATTAGAATCTGGCTTTAGTGGTGACATGGGAATGAAGGGAGAATTATAAGTCATAAGCGTAGTGAAGAGGTTCCTGTTCCTAGGTCTTTCAGGACGATCCCCAGGAAAATATCCCTGTAAGTAGACAGGTTGTCCAAAAAAAGACGGATAAAGTGAGGGCCACTGTTGTTGAGCATTCTGGCAAAAACGCCCATACTGTAAATTCTGCCAATGGTTGGCAAAATCACTATTTAGCATGTCAGTCTTGAAATTGCCAAAGCCCTCCGTAGTTGCAACATTCTGAATAGTTGTACCAGTATTAAGAGCTTCTGGATGATCAAGATTTTTGACTGAATTCAAATGATCCAGTAGTCCATTTTGCTGATTCTTAAACTCACCTCCCCTTTCAGAATGATTACTTGAAGCTTCTATCTCAGTTAGATTGTATGCAGGAAGCATGGTTACAAAAGTGACTGGTAGCCCAGCGGGACAAAATGCAAATGGTAAAATCCCATGGTTACCAACAGTTCTCTGCCATGATTCAGAACCTACAAGCACTGGAGCAACTGGGAAAATTGAATTTGATCCCCTCATTAGTGCTGATTTATAAACATGTGTAGGGTGAGTCTGAAAATGTGGAGTAGTAGCTTCAGAAATTAACCTTTCATCCACATCAGTATCCACTGTTGAAAGTGGAATCCAATCTCTTATGTGGTCATCTGCATGAGAAGAGCCAATATCAGCTGATTCAAACCCATTTTGGGAACCATTATTACCTAATCCATATAAAACAGAAGGATCTGAAGTAACCAGTTTCTTTTGCCATTTACCTGCTACTGGCTTGGACATTCCCAAAGGTGATCCATCCCAGTAATTTTCAGAAGACAATTCGTTTCTTGAGGAAGTAGACTCTGAGGTGGATGTGCTCCTTGACTTGGATGTAGAATATAAGTCATTTTCTCCAATACTTTGAAACTGTGACTGTTCGCCATAATATTCCCCAGTGAATCCTCTCTCTTCAGGAATCACTTCATGACTTTTCAGTGTAAAATGATTAGAGCCGCTTACCTGAGATGATTGCGAAAGGTTAGAATTTGCTGAAGCGAACTGCTGTCTGTCCTCCAAAGATTGAGCTTGGAGAGGTTTACTACTACACTCACCACTTCTCACAGACATCACACTCTGTGCAGACCAGAAGCCATTATGACCACCCACTTGATTCGGCTCCGTTGATAACAAACTACCATCAACCAGCCCATCCATTTCTTCTTGATCTGAGGCTACCCCAACGCTTGGAAGATATTGGCATACTGGCAGATGCATTAAACCTTGAGAATAATGCATATTTCGGTCCCAATTGGACTCAAAAGAAAGAATGTCTGCGGGCATCATAGCAGCAAGGTTTTTCTGAGTATATCCAACTGATACAGAAAGTGGATTTGAATGACATGGAAGAACAGAAGTTACATTCACAGACACCGGAACCTGCCCAGTTGAATTATAGCTCCTGAAAGCTTTCATGTTGACCAAATCTTGCTCTTCCTGATGCATTTGCATGGTCTCTGCAACAGAATGATGGTAATTAACACTAGCACCTGACAATGATGATGGTGAGTTTTTAGTTGAAAATCTTGTACCATGATTGTCCAAAAGTTCAGGGCCCCTATCCCTTCTCCTGCTGTTATCTGAGATTCCTGGAGTGACAACCCTATCCATGCCTTCCTTTATATGGAGCTTCATTTAATGACAGGTCTGGACTAGACTGTGTCCTTGCAAGATGAAATATGGCATGTTGTTCATTCCTTGAGAAGCCTGGTCTAGAACCTTTACCTTTATGGGTATTTCCAGTCCCATTAGAATCATTCTGTAACTTCTGCTGCCTCTTATCAGCGGTGATGGAACCATTTAAGCCAGCATTAGTCTTTGAGTCTCAGTATGAGAAACGCCATAGACATGATCCGGCCTAGACAGCTGTTTAAAGGAGGCATCATCATGCAGGAATGGAGAAACATTTGATCTGTGAGATACTCGAGTCACCTCCACCACAGATTCAAGACAATTAGAATTTTCTTTCCCGTGTTTATTGCTCAAGTGGTTTCTAAAACTTTCAGACCCATCAGGCTCATCAAAATACACCAACTGCATATTATAGATATCAGGAACATCAGGACGATGACCATTTCCATGTCGGTCCAATGTGTTCATGAAAAACTGGTTGATTTCAGCAATTAAATTTTCTTTTGGGCAATCAAGTAACTTTGCCAGCCGACGGGCTCCAAAAGCAAAAGCACTACGAATCCTATAGAAGTTACCTGAAAGGAACTTAAAGGTAAAGAATCGAGACAATTTATTTTGAAAACTTTGGCACCAAAATAAACAGATACAACTGCACCAACAATAATTTTCAGTCAACATAAGAATGGATATCCAGTTACGGGCACCATATGCATGCTAAGAATGAGCCTGTGATTGAATGCTTGCATCCAAGTGCAACTTCACTAACCAGGAAACACTTATAGTCACTAAAACATAAATCACCTCACACTACTAGAGACATCTTAAAATCTCTAACTCATAAACTGTGTATAGTTACTGAAATATAAGAAATAAACTGTACAGTTCACCCATAAAAGTATAAGAGAAATGGTATTTCAATGAGTCAGGATGCAAAAGAATGACATTCATTGCTTTTACTCTTCTGATGTTGGATTTGATAAGTTATTTTGTCGTGAAATTTACCATACAATATTCCATAACTGATATAAATTTTCAAACATATAAAGAAGAGAAGAAAGTGGCAACAAATCAGTACCAACCATTGGAGCTAGTTGAACAACAAGAACAATCAGCATAGGCTTATCTCTCTAGGCTTGCACAATATCACATTACAATTGACAAAAACGTGGCTACAAACATAAACCAATGCAAAAAAAATTGACACAAACAACTGAATCTGCTCAAACATAATCATTTTATCTTGAGTTTACAATGGCGTTACCTTTACTGACACTGCGACCGAGATTATTGTTTGTACGCAAGGGATCAATGACATTGAAATGTTTACAAATGAATGACTGTTCCATATTTTCTTGGCCACCGGGCAAAACAGAATAAACAGAACTACATGCATCAAGAAACATTTTGCTAAGTAGTATCTCTCCGTCATCCTTTCTTGGAGAGTCAGCTGGAATACATTTAAACATTCAGACCCAGAATTGCACATATATAGATAAAGTTCAAGTGGAAGATAACATGAATCTGACTACTTGGATCTACACATACCAGTCATATCAGGAAGGGAACTAATGGGCACTGGGCCCGAGAGACTTACACAAAAGTTATCCCAATCAAATTTACTGAAAAATTCTAAAAAACGATGAAGTACCTGCAGGTTTGCCAAAACTCTTTAGCAAGGAATGCAAAACAAGTAATTGTTACATCAATGGAAAAAATATAACTTTTCACCTCAAGTGGTCCAGCAAAGGAATTGTTGAAAACATGAAATATGTACAAGACCAAAGTCTCCAGTGCATAAGTTGAAATAAGGCCATGATGAGCACCCAAGATACGACTCTCATAATAACACCATGCTTTAATCAAGATAATGCTACGCTTGAATAGATGATTTTTACTTATCAGATTGTCAACCTAGAAGATGAGAAGAATTTGTTAGTTAAAGCTCTACCAGGGGGCGGAACTCTATCAATATTTGACCCAAAAGACCAGTGAGTAATGAGCAACTTATTTTCAGAATTTCACCTCCTCAAGGAAGCAAAGAGTGCATAGACCACCAAGCTGGTTGAACGATATGTCCACAACAATATTTTCTACCAGACACTTTATTATTTTCACCTGAAAATAGAAATGGGTAAGGGGTAAATCAAACATTAAGGAAACTTGCACTGATTAATAAAAAGTGGCATTGGAACAAAAATTAGGTAAAGATAGAGATGGACATGCTGTGTCACACATGTATACAGTTACATAATGTTTATGTATACGCCATAGATGAACACAACAGGCACTAACAAAAGAGACAGCAGTTAAACAATATTCATGTTAAGATGTGTCTTGATTTCACCACATCAAGATACCTGTAAATTTGGGTTTTTTCATGTAGCAAGATCTCGTATATAAATTCCTAAATATTTTTACAGTGAATCAAAGATTCATCCCTCCCATGGAAATAGGCACAGTCACTGAACCATATATATATATACATATATATATATATATATATATCTCTTTATTTGTCCTTATCCACTAACTGTTCCATTAATCTACCTATTACTGGAACAATACAGCCAAGAAACCCCATAGTATCATGCTTAAATCATCGAGGGACAACCCACCCATACAGCCAGCGGAGAGGATGGCACTACTGGCAAAGACCGTCTGGCAAAAACGCTGCAGGCACGAAGCATGGTAGGCCTGCGCCGGGGGAGCATAGCATAGGGAGGAAAGGGAGCTCGGACAGTGGAAGAGCCAGGGGAGGCCGAGTCATTTGACGGAAATGGGAAGGCTTTTCCCTTATTATAGAAGGCCCTAGGTTGAATAGTTAGTGGCAAGTTCTAGATGAAATTTTCTATCAGCTATGATCTTCACCTACAAACTCATAGGTTAGGAAAAGATAAAAAGACCGGAAGATCAAAGAAACTTTCATTTAAAAAAAAAGAAAGAGAAAAACCTTAAAGAAATGGCATTTGGAAAAGTAATAGAAAAAATACACAAGGACTGCCAGCAGGACACACAAGGACTGCCGCATGTTATTTTTGTAATTTCAAAAGACTAAAAAAAAGAAAGAAATTAATTAAACAAATGACAGCTGAACAAGATCCACGGCGGAAATTCAATAGTGTCATGCTTAACACACAAGTGCAGCTGAATAGAGTGATTAGATGTAAATTCTAGTCAATATATCCTCCAGATATTATTGCTTTCACCTGAAAATTAATAGGTAGGGAAAGGGTAAAAACACTTAAACAATAAGCAAGTTCTTTTGTTTCTTTAAAAGGGAAAATCCTAAAGCAATCACAGCTGGACAAGGAATTAGGAAAGCATAGAGACAGATTTACAGATATTCAGTGGACAAACAAAAGGAAAATCCAAAAATGAATGACTATCCAAGGTTTGCCCTATATTTTAAAGTAAAGACGGTGAAGCGAGTCCTTGCACCTGGTTAGCAAGCCCAGAAGACATAAAAACCATTAATAATTGAAAAAAGGTGGACCAGCAAGAAAATCGTGCACTTGGACAATGCAGGAAATCAATTAATTGCCCCACTAATCCTATTTGTCATGGTACTTACTATTATTAGCAAAGCAGGAGATTAACACATTCAGTAGGGGAAAAGAGAAAAAAATAGACATGCAGAAGGACTTAACCTCGGCTTGGATGTAGTGGACCTCTTTCACATGGAATTCAGCATTTTCATTCTTCTCTTCACTCTCTAAAATATTTAGTACCTCTTTGACCCAACTGTCTTTCAAACTTTGATTCTCAGTGAATGCTGTTAAATCAATATCCCCATCTGGCAGGTAAGTTTTTAGAGGTACAGAGCCAAAGGTGAACACCTGTAGAGCAGAAAGGGTCAGATTAGAATAGCTAAACATGACCAGAAATTTTTCTATAACTCCAACTGGGCCATGTGAAGAAAGATGCAGAAAGAAGCTATTCCCATGCCAAGAAAATTCAGTCAGCCTAAGAGATTGCATATATAGACAATTAAAAATGTTTCCACATACAAGGGAACCACAGTGAAAACTATTGTTAAGCATTCTCATCCTGCTTGGTTCATGACTTTACTTTGGGAACATTATCTACTGTTTACTTTTCGCATGCCCATGTCCCTCTCAACTGGTACAAGGGTTTTCTTGTCTTCAGCTTTCACTCGAGTCATGAGAACTTGAAATCACTCTGTATATTCACTTATGATGGGACAATAATCCTTGGTCTATCAGCAAAAATATTATGATTATATAAAATTTTGAGATGTCCAAATAGATAAAAAAAAAAAACATATTCAAGATAATGCCTTGCTTAGTTGTAGATAATTATTTTGAGTTTTAATTTTTAAATTTATATAGGGTTTATGTTAAAATATATAGTCGTTGAACATGAATGCACATTTTGAAAAATGATTATGAAAATATGTATGGGTTATTTGAAAATAACTCTTTATTCTTTTCAAACTCATACCATCCTTCCACTGTCATTTTCAAACAGTTATAAATGTTTTTTACTTATGTATATGAATTAAGAAAAAAAACAGTTACCTACAAATAAACATGATCTTAATGTTCATGTTGCTTGTCGAATCTGTATATACAAGTAAACTATTAAGAATACCCTGCGTAACGATGAATGGCACTCTTTTACAAGGTAACTTACATGGCATACTTTACAAAAAGCTTACATAACTGGACGATATAAATTTCCATATGTGTCATGATAACATACTGACAACGTCCTGTGGTAATCATTAGTCTACTCAGTAAATAGCCTACTTTTTATACCCATGATGAATAAATACATATGATATTATTTCAAGTGAAAATTACTATACAAATTTCACTTGGGTTGATAGTGAAGTTGGAGAGAGTTTGAGGGTGAGAGGGTGAGAGAGAGAGAACCAAAAACTATTCAAATTTTGAGGGGAGGTATTACCTGACAAGGGAAGCACTTCATAATGAGGTTCTGAACATAATTTGCAACAGCATTTCTATGCTGCTCAGAAAACTGATTCGGCTGTATGCATGCAATGAGCTCAGCAGTCTCTCTTCGGCTAGTGACCATCTCTCTAGGTCAAGAACTTGAGT